CTAAAATAAAATTTAAACAATTCAGAAGAGCCCTTGGGGAGGCTCAGCTGGGCGCCTGCTGATCTAGAAGATCAGAGAAATGGTTGGGGAAAGGGGATCTGTTGGCTCTTTAGGAAAGAACAGAAAATAACCCAAACAGGACCAGGACAGAGCTTCTCTGCCTCAGCATGATTGCTGTGAGCTGAGGGGTCCCCAACCGGTTTCCTGTAGGTGATCCCCAGATGCAGACAAGAAGATGCCTAGTTGCCTCTTTCCCCTGATTCTGCCCAGCAGTTGATCTTTCAGGAGATATTTATTGCCTGGATCTTTGGAGGAACACGAGAACCTTCAAAATCCTTAGTAGGTGGTTCTTGGCTTACAACAGTTCATTTAGTGACTGTTCAAAGTTACAACGGCGGTGAAAAAATGTGATTTGGGATCGTATTGTCTTATGTGTTTAACTTGGTTTGTCCTCCCTCCCTTTGAACTGTGAGCCGCCCTGAGTCCCCCCAGGGAAAAGGGCGGCATACAAATAAAATACCTATACCTATACCTATTTTCTGCAACCGGTTCTCCAGAACTGGTCAGAACCTGCTGAATACCACCTCTGAGTCAGANGCGCGCAATGCGTGCGTGCACAAGGATGCCGCACGCCTGCGCGAGGACGCCGCCGGCCTCGTTCCAACCAAACCAGTTGGAACGGGGCGAGAAACCCACCCCTGGCTAAAACATACGATGAACGGTTGCGGGAACCAGGCATGGCTAGTCTAGCAAAGAGAAGGACCAGGGGAGACATAATAGCAGCCTTCCAATATTTGAGCAGTTGTCACAGAGAGGAAGGGGTCAAGCCTCCTCTATTTTCCAAAGCACCTGAAGGCCAGAGAAGGAATCATGGATGGAAACTGAACAGGAAAGATTCAGTGGAAATAAGGAGAAATTTTCTGAGTGAGAGCAATCAACCAATGGAACATCTTTCCTTCAGAAGTTATGAGCCCTGGGCTCATAATTTCTATATTTGTCTTATCAGAATTTGTCCGGAGTTCCGGTGGCACAATTAAAAATGAATTTTGCAGTCCTTCCTCTAATGAAGCTATAGCCTACAGAAATATGGTCCCATTCTGCAGCTGAGGAAGGATAACACACTCGCAGCATCACTGCAGCCTTTGGCTCACACTGCTGGGAAGCCTGGTGCTCACAGATAAATAGAGCTCTCCCTATCACAGGGGAACATGCTTTGCTATGGCTTCTCCGGGAACAGAATGCTTTTGTTTTGAGAATGATGTGGTCTCAGCAAAGGCACAGACTGTTATGGAAGCCATGAAAAAGAAGACAGAGATAAGCTATCAGGGGAAGACGAGGGAATACGTGGCAAAGACAAATTTTCTTCCTGGGGAAGGATTGCTTCAGGATTAGCCACGATCAAGGTGGCAGCCACTTGGGGAGTGGGCAAGCTGTCCTTTCATGGCAGGAATTTTGTGACAACCTCCAAGATACGTATCCAAAATTTCAAAGAAGGTCACAGTTCCTCTAGTAAAGTTTGCCTCTATTTGATGCATATCCAAGAACAGAAGAAGAGAAAACTACAAGGATTCCCCAAATCTAAAAGATCATGGATTTGCCTACAAATCATTGGACGGCCAAAATGGGAAGAATTCCAAGGCACCTGAAGGCCAGACAAGGAATAATGAATGGAAGCTGAATAAGGAAAGATTCAACCAGAGGTGGGTTAGCAATAGCAATAGCAGTTAGACTTATATACCGCTTCATAGGGCTTTCAGCCCTCTCTAAGT